TAAGGCAGGAAACTAAATCAGGTATGTACTATTTAAAGACTATAGCTGATATTGTATTTCATCAACCTTACTTCATCTTTGAAGTTATTATTTCTAATTATTTTTATATTGAATAAATCTACTATTTTTGCTTTGTAGGTCATACGATGGCACAACCAGGAACCTACCTAAAAAATCTAATATCGCGATAAACCATAATCAATGTAAAAAAAACATTATAAATTAGCTAGCTTCGTTTTTTTGTTAACTTCTTTTATTTTTTGTTTTCTTTTTATTTGTTCTTCTGTATTTTTTCTGTTTATTTTTTTAAATTGTTTTATAATTTTGCATTTCAATAAAAGTAAACACTGAAAATATATTCTTCTTTGCTTCTTGAGATCAATACCAAATACTCAGAATAAGCATGAGCAATGTGTTATTATCTGTCTAAGGTCAAAAACATGTATTCCATTTATTATAAGTTTTGTTAAATGTGAGGGTGTATGGTTCTAAAAAACAACTGATAGACTCCATCAAATAAAATCTTAATCAAATATATATTAGGCTTTCTAATCAAAAGAGCAAACAAATTTCATAAAATTGATTCATTCAATTTTTTTTTCCAATAATTATCGAAAGTCAACATTTCATTTTCAAAGTTTATTCTACAGTGCACAACTAGAAACATATTCTGTATTTCACAAGACAAATTGCAAGGCTTCAGTATTTTTCGTTGGCGTTAGTAGAACTTCCAGCCACATTTTTTAAATAAACAGTAACAAAAACAACCATTTTTTTCTTTGAGTCAATATACTGTATCATCATTCTATTATAGTCTCCTTCTATCGCTTTCAATCGCATATATCTTCAGTTTCAAAGGAGGTCCACTGTTATACGCTACTAACAGAAGCAAGCAAGCATGGCTTGATGTTTACATTTCCTTCTCTAGGTTACACGTATTCAAACGAAAAAGAAGAATGAAAGAAAAAACAAAATATTAAAGTAGTTTTGTCTAATGCAACATGTTTAACCGATATGCATGAATAATTTTCACGTTCGCTTGTGTATCAATAGCTTGATATACAGTTAAAACTTCATTGGACTGTTGCACATCATTATTATTTCAAGTTAAATTTAAAAACTCAATAAAATTGTTATGTCGTATACTACATACATTAACAGCAGATTATTTTTCATTAAAAAGTACAGAACTTCATAAAAGGTATACAAGAATATCATGATTATCAAGATGAATTTGAATATCAAGATCATATATTTGAAAATAAAATTCTTTTATTAATTAGTCATTATGTTATTAAATTACATTTACCTGACTATTTTTATTCAATATTTTTTGGAAAAATCCATCGTTTCGTTTCGAATATGGTTTAAAGGCATTAGAAAAATTTATATTAAAAATTTTAACACGAGTTATAAAAAGTACATTAATAGAATATTATAATAAATGTATATGTCATTATTTGTTATTCATCAACTTGATATCAAAATTAGTTTAAATTCTTCAACTACAAAAATATTTTATAAAATAGTTAAAAAGGAAGAAGCAACAAAAATTTTAAATATTAAAATTGGTTCGAGGATGGACGGGAAAGAATTAACTAAATATGTTATAACACGTGATTGAACACAATTTATTGATGGAAAAATCAGTAAATCAATGGAAATAATTTTAAAAACTATAATAATAATAGAAAATTATAAAGCTTTTATTTTTTATGCAAATATATTAAAGATATAATAAAAATATTTTAAAATATGTAGAAAAGTTAAGAGAAGATGCACTCACATCCTTAAGATGGTTTTATTCAAGGACCTTTCAATTTATGAGCTTTTTATAAATATAAGATATGACATATATGTCAAAACTCAATAGCATCTTATTATCTATACTACACTTTTCGCCAAAATATTTGGGCACTACAAGGTAGAACAAATAATAATCCAGCTAAAGTTTTTAATGAAACAATTAAATACCGTATCAACTTTTAGAATGTTTTTGAAAAAATGATAATTTGTGACTTCAGAAATTTTTTCATAGATAAGTCAGAGAAATCTAATGTTTTGGATTTGTGAGCTGAGTAAATCTAATGATTGTTATAGATATTTACTAATAAATAATGCAATTGTCTTTGTAGAAGTGAGAATCAATCGGTATCAAATTAATTAAATACAAGAGGGTAGTAGAACTTATTGAAATAAATTCTATCTTACCTAATCAAATTACATTTTATTCTCATTATATTTACCTAAAAACAAAACTTCCATTGAACCTATTATTAACATTCACAGATCAAATACATCTTCTATTAATTAGAAACGGACCACAAAAAAGACAAAAAAGACAAAAAAAAAGATTATACAAATACAAAACAACACTGAACTATACCAGAAAAAAAATCTAATCTATATTAATGAATACGAGCACAGAGCACAAAAAAGATTTTCCTGAGAGAGATTAATTATATTAACAATAATCACAGTAATTATGTATCAATTTGATCTCCACAAGTATTTTTTTCAACACCAACGAAACGTAAATGATGATTGGCTCCATAGCGATAATCAAAAAATAATTCTTCGCCAGCCGTTATAAAACGTTTGGAATAAATACCAATTCTATGATCACCATTAACCATAATAACTTTTGCATAACAATTTGGATTTATTGAATGATTAGCAAAACGTATTTTATTTCCACGACGTGTTGCATCAACCATATATTCTTCATTAAGATCAAATAAGAAACTTGTACCTATAGTATCATACATTCTTCCACGTAATTCACCTTCATCTTGTGTTAACTAAATTAATAAAAATAAAACACAATACTACTTGTTTTTTTTTTATTCATTCTTTTACTTACAATTTCTCCACAATATTCAGCAATAAATTCATTTCGTTGTATATTAATAGTTGTAAACATTCCCCAACCAGCTACATCCGATTCTGCTAATAATAAAGGTTTATGTAAACTACGTTGTATAGCAACATTATGACATGAACATGATGTACTTGTTTTTAATTCATTATTAACACTACGAAAATCATCTGCACCACATTGTGTACATAAATCAGGATCACATTCACGTGCAGCAGCATAACATGGACATTGTTTTGTTGTACATGATGAACGACAACGACATCCAGGAAAACGATTATCACATTTTGTTGGTGAACAACAACAATATTTTTCACAAAAATTACCAGAACGTACACAATAACAATCTTCATTACAAGGCATTGAACTATCATGATCGCATGGATAATATGTATGGCGTTTCTTTTCAGATGAAAGATTATTATGATGATTTAACAATATTTGTTGATGACTTCGTTGACGACGAAATGATGAGGAATGAGAACGACGAGATGAAGATGAACGATTATTAGGAGTCTAGAAAAAAAATAAATTTATGTTTAGTTTTTTTTAGGGTGAGGGAATATAATTATTTAAAAATCTCTTCACATACTAGATGTTGTTCATCTTTTCCATTACACATTTTTGTATTATCTTCTGTTGATTTATCATCATTATTTGCTTTTAATAATCCATGAACTTTTTTCTTCTTATGTTGTTCTCCATTAGTTTTTATATCATTCGAATCTGATGATGCTGAACTAACGCCTGAAAATGAACCAACTGTTGATGCTGTACTCATTGTTGAAGATTGTCGTTGTAAAATATGATTTTTTTCATTTATTTGAATTTCATTTGTATAAAATACATATACTTGTGAACATGATTTATCAAGTAAATCAGCAATCATACATATATTATCACCATAAATTAAATAAAAAACTCGAAATAATGATTTATCACTTGCTGACCATTCAGACAATTCATCTGTTAATTTTCGTTTTAATGATGGTTTAAGAAGAAAACCATTTGATAAGAAATTATAATTTGGTGATATTGGCTCAGTTTTAATCATATTTAATTTTGTACGTTTTGAATGAAAACCATTCAGAGGTAATTTAAATGTTTTATTATCAGGTAAATCACTATAACTTCGTTTAAGTTCAATTTTTGTTCGTCTTTGTGGAATAGGATTTGTTCTATAACAATGACGACTACATGGACGACACATAGGATTAGAATTTTTAGGTTCAATATTAAGATCAGGTACAGCTTGTTTATCTCTATGTAAAAAACAATCGTATCGATGACAACGACGACAAAAAAGCATAAAATATGAATGTAAAATATTTTCTACAGTTGTATCAACTGCCAATGATGAATTATCGATATTAGGTGTAAATTCTTTCGGTTGTAAATGTTTTGATTCAAATATTGTACCAAATCGATCTCGAATAAGATCGGCTGAGGTTGAATATGTTTCTAAAATCAGATATAAATATTTCATTATGACAAATCGATTTTATACTTACTAATTAATATTTCGAATAAATTTGATTCATCATCCACTGTCATAGGTATTGATGTATGTCCTGGTTGTTGTTTAAGACGTTTTAATAATTCCATAAGATGGTCTTCATCAAGAATAATTTCATTTTTTTTATCGTTCATTGGTGATGTTTTCGATAAACGACGTGTTCGTTTTGATGTTGAAGACAATCGAATGGCTAGAATAATAAGAATAAGAATTTAGTATTAATTTAAAAGTAATTATTTACGTTGTTCTTGATTTGATGAATCAGATTGAACAGAATTAAGAAGATTTTTAATATCTTCATCCTCTTCTTCTAAAACTAAATCTGATAGATTTGTAACTGTGTCACACTAAAAATTAATAAAATCGATTTCTTTTTTTTGTTTATATTTAAATAATAATCTTACAAGATAATTTCGTTGTAATGGTACATAAGTAAACATATGCGGTATTGGATCAATTTGTGGTAAAATTGAAAGTGAACAAATTAATTTTTCACCAGTTAATTCATCATAAGAACAAGTTGTATAAAGTTTCGAAATTTGTTCATTATGAATTGGCTCGGAAGTAATAGTTGGATGTCGTAAGTCTTTATAGTGTTCAGCAATTGTTGCAAAAAATGACCTGTTGATATTTATATGTTTAAGAAAAAAAAGAATGTGAGAATTTGCTACTAAATACTTACACTACATCACGTCGTTGTCGTAAATCTATTGTACGAGAGATATGTTTAAATGCTCGGTCAATACGCTCTTTCCATATAGGATCAACTATACTCTTCTCATTTCGAACATCCGTCATAATTTTTCTTTTATAAACGTATAGATTTCATTTATTATTATTATTATTTCAAATTGAACACGTTACAAATCTTTTTCTTCCTTCAACAGCTGCAATCAGCTGAGTATAAAAAATATTGTTTTTTTTTTCATCGAATGATTGTAATCAAAATTATACGGTGAACGGACAATAGAGGAAAAAGTAAATATATATATTTGTAGCGCTCGGTTGTCAATGGTTGGTGTTCAGAAGAAATTAACCAATGATAAAACAAAAGAAGATTGATTGAATGATATAAACATAGACATATATTTAAAAATATGATTGAAAATAACGAGAGAGAGATCAAATATCTTTTCAATTTTTATTTGTTCTTATATTGAAATCAACAGCGATGTATTAACTAATAGATGAATTTATGATTTAGAGAATGTTCAGAAAGTTTTCGATCAAAATGAAAAGTATGTGTTATATTTCTACTTCATATGAAACGAACTGATGAGAGCGAAGACTTTCATTGATATAAATCTCGTTATTCTAGTGTTTTAATCAAGATTTTCAATGAACGATGAAGAAATTTATTAATCAATCGATATTGTTAATAGAACAAGAGAAAAAGAAATTGGATCATCAGTAGCTCGTAATAATGATACGAAACATTTGCTCACCAGTTATAGTTTTCTACTTTTGAGTTAAATAGAGAAAATTCAGTTTTTAAATAGGAATTGCAGTAATTTTATCAGTATAGTTTGATTTAACTATGGTTGTTAACATATTCTGAATATATTATTCATTCATTACACTTTTAACTGTTTTAATTAGCCTAATTCTTTTTTATGTTTGATTAAAATGTGTAATGGCATAAGTTTCTGGTCTGGAAGTTTTCTCATTTACCTAACGTATCTAATAGACTAAGAAAAATCCTCAGTAAAAGTTAAGTTTTCCAATGAAATTCTTTTCGATCTTCATCGTAGTTCCATTGGATTTTTACATCTGAATAAGTTTCATCATATATTTCCCCGTTAGTAATATTCGTTTATCACATTTTCCCAGATTTATATCCTCACCCATGCAATATTCTGATATTAACGCCATCTGTTAACAAAACGTCATACATTGGTTGTAAGATAAACTGTTAAAAATACTAAGAAGAAATAACAACAAACAAGCTAATTTTACTATTCCGACTAGTTATTTGATCATACAGGTCATTGATTACATTCATTAAGACTTCTATTGTGTTTATAGATTCATATTCTATAGTCTATTGATAACTATTGATTTTTATACATATTGAAACACACACACACATATATATATATACAATGCCGCCACCAACTACGACGGTATCACGAAAACGAACACGTTCAACAAATATTTCTGAAAGTAATAATGATCATGAACCATCAACATCAACTATGGTTTCATCTCTACCAACTAATCCAGTTCCTCCGAAACGTCAACGTAATAATCCACCATCTGTAGAATCACATACTACAAATTATTCACTTCGTAATCGTTCCGTAACATCTGATTCTCAACAATCACAACGATACAATTTACGACCACGTCATCCACAATCACAGATTCATTCATCTCAAGTTTCTGTTCCACATTCAACTACAATATCACATCGTACTCGACGTCCTATATCGTCGACATTAACAACTAGTAACAGTTTACAACAAGAACAAGCAACACCATCTACTACTCAACCACGTCAATATCGTCTTGTTTATATATCCGATGATGATGATCAACCAACAACAACTACACAAACATTAACAACAAATATGAATACAACTTTCAATTTAGTGACTGATAATGAAGATGATGAACCAATACCTCCGCGTCGAACAACAAGATCAACATCTAATACGAGTCATAATATACGGTTAATATATAAGAAGAAAACTTTTTAAATCAAATTCTAAATTACTTTTTTTTCGTATTCTTTAGTTCTCGTACAGTAACCGATCCAACAAGTACAACAACAATTGATAATCAAGATTTTACTACTGGCGGTGTAGCACATGTTCGCCTTAATCGTGCTATTGAAATTGTTATTGATTCTATTCAATCTCTCGAAGGTGCTGTAAATAATTTTGATCAACTTGTCTTTAGTCTTATTTATGGTCGACTAAATACGCGAACTGAATTTGAAAGTCTTGAAGTAAAACAAAAAACAATTCAAATCTTCATTTTATTTTCTTAAAATAATTTTTTTTTAAGGGTATGATTCGTTTATCTCGAATACTTAATTTAAATTTTCCATCACGATTAACTCAAGATGAAATTGATGCATTACCAAAAATTAAATTTCTTAACAAATCTGAATTAACATCATCAACACTTTTAGCTGAAAAATGTCCGATTTGTTTAACAGAATTTAATGATCAAGAAATAATTAATAAATTACATTGTACACATTTATTTCATCTTCAATGTATATCAACTTGGCTTAGTGTATGTTTTCATTTGTTCTATTAGAATATTCTTTTTTTAATATATTATGATTTTTCAATAGGAAAATGATTCATGTCCAACCTGTCGTCGAAAAGTGAATGGAAATTAGAAGAAGAAAAAAACTAAATATTTTTGTTTGTTTGTTTATATGCCATATGAAATATAAAGAAAAAAAAAACTAGACAATCTCAAACCCGGTGACAGTGTTTTCTTTTTTTTCTTTTTGCTCTCACTTTGCCGCTCAATGTTAATCTTTAAATATATTGAGCAAATGATTATTTAAATGTGTTCATTCCTTGTTCTTCTTATTTCTGTATAAAAGAAAATGGCGTGATATATACTCTTCTGTTTTCTTTTTGTTCTTCTGATGTTGATTATTTAGTAGAATGTTTGTGTGTGTGTGTATTTGAAAGCAACAACAATAAACTTATCTATGAATAAAGCTATAAAGAAACTCAAAATTACATACATAGACAAATGAAATAGTTGGATGTTATCGAAGAAAAATACTGATTATTTATGCTAATATAAAAACATATTGACAAAAGATTTAGTAATATAGATTTTTTTTGTCTTGTCATGCTGTGAAAACCTTTTCTTTTACGACATTTTGAAAGATAAAACATAGAGAGTATATCATTTAGAAAAACAACGAGTTGAGTATAATGGTTCTTACAAAAAAACAATGGATTCTTATTGGTAGTGTAGCATCTGTATTAGTAGTTGCTATTGTTGTAGGCGTTACAGTAGGTGTTGTAGTTGGTCGAAAAAAACCTGAACAACAAACGATAGAACCACCAACGACAGAACAAACAACTACGGAACAAACAACAACAGAACAAACAACGATAGAACAACGAGTACATGCTATATTGGCAGAACATCCATTGATTGATGGGTAAGAAAAACAATAGCGTGAAAACTACAAATGATTTTGAGATTTTTGGAACTGAAAAATAAATTTTTCTGTGTATTGCCTATAGAATGCACTTTAAATTTTATCTTTGGTTTTATGACGAGTGCAGTATCATAAATGTTGACTGACGTTTTGATGTATAGTAGATAAACTATAAGTATGCATGTAAAATTTGATAAATAGTCAAAATAGTATTAGAAGAATAACATCTTATGATAAGAATTCATGCTAGTATTTAAGATCTTTCAAATGAACAGTATTATTCTAGCAAATATATTAACTTTTCCCTCATTTTAATTATTAATAAAATCCTTGAATATTGTTTTATTTTTCTTTCAAATTAACTATTAAAAAGGATGTATTCATTATTCTAGTCACAATGACTGGGCATGGGCCATTCGACGAGATTTTCGAAATAATATAACTAATGTTGATTTGTATGACATGACTAAATATCATGTAAACAATAGTACACCATTTCAGACAGATATAAATCGTTTACGAAAAGGTCAAGTCGGAGGACAAGTTCGTATCGAAATTTATTTTTTGATGAAAATAAAATTAAAATAAAATAGTTTTGGTCAATTTATACACGTTGTACCCATCAAGGAAAAGATGCTACTGTAAGTTTTATGGAACAAATTGATCTTATGAATCGATTAATAGCTAAAGAACCTGATGTATTTCAAATGGCTACAACCGCTGATGAAGTTCGACAAGCATTTCAAGCTAAAAAAATTGCAAGTTTATTTGGTATTGAAAGTGGACAAGCTATTGAAAGTACATTTTCAGCTTTAAGACTTTTCTATCAACTCGGTGTACGATATATGACATTAACACATAACTGTAATACACCATGGTATGTATTCGTTTCTTTTTCAATAATAAAATGAATTATTTACATAAATCAAAAGGGCTGATCAACATATGGTCGATCGTCCCGGTTCAACATTAGTCAAAAATAATGGATTGACAGAATTTGGAAAGAAAATTATCATTGAAATGAATCGTCTAGGGATGCTTGTTGATTTAGCACATGTATCAAAAAAAACCATGTTAGATGTATTGAGTGTTAGCAAATCACCAATTATATTTAGTCATTCATCAGCTTACGCATTATGTAATCAAACACGAAATGTTCAAGATGATGTACTTCGATTAGTTGTAAGTTTCTTTTGAGAGAAAATAAATTTCGATTTTACAATTGAATTATTAATTTAGAAAGATAATCGTGGAATTGTTATGGTTGCATTTACACCTATTTTTATAACATGTGATAGTAATTATTTAGGAAATATTTCAGGTGTAGCTGGTAAAATGAGTTAATGATTTTTTTCTTCTAATTAATTATTTAATTGTGAATTTAGCACATATTAATCATGTTCGAAATGTTGCTGGTATAGATAGTGTAGGACTTGGAGGTGATTATGATGGTATTGACGAGTATGTATATTCATCGCTTCTTTTCTCTTAATGTCTATTTCTATATATTAGAACACCAGTTGGTCTAGAAGATGTTTCAACTTATCCGAAATTAATTGAATATTTAATATCACAAGGAAATTGGACCGATAATGATATTATTAAACTTATTGGTGGAAATCTTTTACGAGTAATGGAAGAAAATGAAAAGGTAGATTTAGTTGTTTTTTTCTGTGTGAAAATATACATTGATTGTTTTCTTTTAGAATGCACGTGAGTTACAAGAGACAATGCAACCACTTGAAGATATGATACCTCTTGAAGATCTAAGAAAATATAATTTTACTGAATGTCGATATTTAGACATGTATCCAAGCACTACAACTACATGATATATACTTTAAAATATTTGCTTATTTTCACTTTGAGAACTGTTTTTTAAAATAAATTATATAAAGCGATTATAATTATAAAACAAGATAGGAAGATTTTGCACTGAGTTATACAATATGAAAGAAACCTAAATTGTTAGAAAAGAAGGTAACAAAGGTGAGCCTGTGTATTCTATTCATTCCGCACTCACACCCACACCAATATCCTCAAGCTATCCTTCATTACGACAATCATACAGAATTGTATTAAAATATCACCTCTCGATTGTCTATTGGCCTATACTCAACATTTTGTAAAGTGTCCCACGATACATGTCTTTATGACGACGATTACTAGCAGTATTTCTGGTTACCATACAGTGTCAAGAAAACAATGAGCACCAGAAAGTATATGTTATCTTCTTATTATACATGACTAATAATTTGCTCTTTCAAGCTTGATGCAGCTCATTTCGATAGCTATCCTGTGAAAAGAATTCATCATTCTGAAAAGTCTCAAATAAGTGAAAGACCCATGAAGTAAAACAATAAAAAATAGCATATAACTCCGAGTTTGCTTGCCTAATTTTTTCTACGTCTGAATGACTACACCCATTATATCCTTACAATAAAATTAGAATTCAAGTTGTTCTTAGGAATACTCTTTGAGCACTGAACAACAAAAGAAGAGCATAAAGAAAATAAGTCTATCGAAAATATTCAAGGCAGATTAGAGGAAAAAAAATGAAGTTTAGTTTGTATAAGTACTACAAAGTCAGTATAAACTTTATTATGATAGCAAAAAATATCATAAATTCAGAACATTCATTCTATCGTTGTATTACGGGAGATATGCACTTTGTTAGGAGGGAAATAAGATGAAGACGATTCGATCATTCATTATAATTTCTAGACTATTTTTTCTTTCGTTGAAAATAATTTGACATTAAAAAGATACTCTTCCATTCTAGTGCAGACTAAAAACATTCGAAACAAACAGCAATTAGGCGAAAACATTTGTTTTTATTAAACACTTTATATATTAAAAATCAATATTTGTTTCTCATCTTGTCGATTGCTTTTTTTGTGAAGTTATTTGGTTTTATTCAATTTTTTCTTATTTCTGTTTGCGTGAAAAAATTCGGTTGATCTTTATTATTGATCAAATTATGATTTTATCCGAATTTTGAAACAAAGTTAAACGATCTTTCGAAAATTTGACATATAAATAAAGTGAAAATAACGAAATCGATTTTAAAATTCTTTTTCAAGTCAGATAATACTCTATCTCGAGTCCTCAATCATCAAATAATATGAAGGAAAAAAACAGAAACAAAAAGTTAGACGTATTACGACAAAAGTATATAAAAACATATTTTCGTGATTATCTGTTTATTTTCTCTCATATTAAACGCATGTCATAAGAAAGAATTACACGATGTTTTATAAATATCTGTTTGTTTTCTTTCTTTCACTTAATATACATAATGCTGTCTATATCAATCTCTTTCGCTCTCTGCAAGGGTATTTTTCTATCGTTGTTTCTAGGTTGTTTCTTTTCTTTCTATCACATAACAACTTATAGATATAGCCCAAATGAATTTTAACTAAATTTGGTATATTCCATTTCTTGTCTAAATTTTAGGTATAAATACCCAATATTTTTCTGTGAAAATGATGTGCTTGTAGCTTTGAAACACACTACACATTCACAACAACTATTTCACGGGCCTAACGCCATTCTATGATTGAATCTCTTTTATTTTTCTATTTAATATGAGAATTCGCTGAACATAACCAAGTTTAAGTAAAACATCTTTTTATTATTCTAGATTAGTATTATCTATTGGCAATGCCTGAAGGTCAACCAAATGAATGGAGAATATTATCTCCATCTCAAATATCACTTAATATCTATTCACCAGATTCAATGACGAATAATAGTTCATCTTCGGTATTAACAAAAGAGGAATGTATATTGAAAATTTGTGATATTCTTGAATTAGATGATTCTGAGGAATCAAAACAAATCGTGGAAAAATCAATGACTGATGGAAGACAGGCTTTACGTGATCATGATCAAGATCTTTCACCACAAACACTTCGTGAAGAAGTTGATGCAAGCCAAAGCGAAGTTTTAAAATTCTTAAAATGTTATATTGAACAAGAATGGTACAGAAATACTCCCGAATGGTTTCAACAATATCTTCGACAACAAAAGAAAACCTCATCTGATATCTATGATCAAATTCTAACACGAACAGCTGACTATGGATCAAAGTTTCTCAAAGAAAATACTTTATTATCTTTAGTTATTCAGTTTCTATTTGAATTTGATGATAAACGTCTTCATGAAACACCAACTATCGATGAAATATGGGAAACATTAATAACTTACGGTCGGTAAGGTATTGAACAATATGCAGACGATATTGCTCCAAATGTGAAGGAAGAACAGTTAACCAGTGATGAAAGTCCATTATATTTAGCTTTACAAGATTATTATTGTAAATCATTGAAAACTTTATTTGAAGATCCTGATATTGGCATTCGGCCAGCTAATACAATTAAAATAGCTTTAACTTGTGTTGCTAATAATGGATGGTGGAAAGGATTACATAATAAACAATTTGTAGATAAAATAGCACCAAAAAAGTTTAAAAAATTAATAGATTACTTAAAACAAAACAAATTACCCATACCTGCTGATGTATTATCTAATATTAACTCAACAAACTCACCACTTTTTAATTCATCATCACTATTATCATCAGTATCATCACAACCAAGTACAACAATTACATCAACTTTTTCATCAAATCAAAGTTCAAATAATTCACATATTGAAACAATATCTTCAAGTTTAAATAAAATACAGCTAAACTCAGAGATAAAAACAAATATGGATGAAGAATCAAGAAATGATGAATGTAAAATAATTATGAAATGTATCAATGAAGATGCTAAATTAAAATTATCTCATTTAGTTGGTGCTGGAGAATTAGTGTATATTGATAAAAAATTGAATGATGTTTTATATAAGATTATTAATGATTATGCTTCTCAAAAAAGCTTTTCCTTGTTTATTAATAATTGTCTTATACCAATAATGTATCTGTTAAAAAGACAGCAAAATCTTGATGATTTTATTGAATGTTTATTGCAAAAATATGACGAATTACAATCATCATCATTAAAACCAACTAAATTAAGTTTAAGAATGCTGATTGATATATTATTACTTAAT